CCTTTGGCTTAGCCAGGTGATTGGCTTACAGGGAGCTTTGCACTTGGGCTCAGCCTTTTCTTTGGACTTGGTATTGGACTAGGTACTTCACCATCTGTTTTCAAAACTCTGAGCCATGTTACGCACCCCGCGACAGCCAAGTCCCAGCCGGCCCGTCAGCTATGTCAGCTCCGTATTACATTTACTGCCCAACCAGGCCACACTGTCAGACATGTTGACCCAAAATTAAAATGTCTCCAACAATATTGGGTCTGGTCTGAATCTCCATCTATTGCCGCACATCAGATGGAGAGATGTTATTAAGCTGCGGCCCAATCGCGGTATCCAGGTAAAAAGCACAAGGCATCTTTGTTGCTGCTCCTTGGACCATTAACCTCCAACACCGACATGAGCACACACGCACACCGGACCACGGTCTTGCACCGGTCAGTGTGCGTCGTCGTGCTCCTTCTTCCCATTCTGTTCTCAGTCGCTCCAGGTGCCTTTCCCAACTCACCCAGCCAGAGAATGGCAAGTCTGCAAAGTCTTGTGTATCATACGAGCTAATAAACTTGTGCAGTGCGAGCGGACACCTACATGGCCTCCGGCGGCAGCCTCCACACGGGCACCCTCTTGTCGTATGCCACCGAAAGCTACAAGGTACAAGGGCCTCCCACTCTCAGCTGGGGAATGGGAGATCTCGCCTGACCCTCCATTCAAAAAACGCCCATGCGCTACAACAGTACGTGCAGGAAGACTTTTCCGTCATGTTCAAGACCGGCCTAACGGCTGAGGCCGCTGTCGAGGCCATCGGTTTGTCCACGGTACGGCCCTCAACATGAACTCAACTAAATTCTGAATTCCAAATCGCGTTGTCATGTTGCAGCAGACTGTGTTCACTCACGCCATCACACGGCACACTCGCGTGATACGGCAGGACTCCGCAATGGTAGACGCGTACTGGCCGCCCGAATGGCAGGTCGAGCACAACATCTTCCATTTCCCCGTCGTCTGCCAACCTATCGTGGCCGCCTACAATCTCGGCCCCGACGCGCTGCCCAACAACCAGACCCTGGTGTGGCCACCACACTACACACATGACTTTGCATTCTCTCCGGCTGATGCCGCGTGCTCTCTTTTGACTACATTTCACGCTGCACACCGCAGACACTCAGCGTGGGGGTGTTGGCCGACATCTGGTCTGGCGCCATTGTGTCCTGGAACGACTCGGCCATCGCGCAGCTCAACCCCAACATCACCCTGCCCGCCCAACCCATCGTCTTGGTGTTTGCCAACGACAGGCGCGGCAGCATCTCGGATTCGTTCGCCAGCGCCCTGGCGCACTTCAATCCGGCGTTCGCCATGTCGGTGTACACCACCAACGATTCGTTCGCCAGCCGGTGGTCCCAGTTCGGCACCATCGGTGCGCGCTCCTATGTCGTCGATCCCATTGAGCAGCAGCTGGGCCACGTTCTCGTACGCGCTTCCATTATCGCGGCGTTGCTTGTGGAGACCTTACCAAACATGTGCATACACACCACGCTCTTTAGAACATCTCGTACAGTCTCACCTACACCACAGCCGTGTTTGCAAGTGCGGCTGGCCTTCCCTTCGCCCTGATG